AAAAGATTTTATGTATTTATTTGAGAGAGAAAGAGAAGGAGCAGCGGGGAGGAGCAGAGGGAGAGGCAGAAGCAGACTCCCTGCTGAGCAGCGACCAGGATGAGTGGTTCAATCCCAGAACTCCAGGATCATGACCTGAGACCAAGGCAGACGCTTAACCAACTGAGCCTCCCAGGCTCCCCTAAAAATGTATCCTTAATGTTAAGTCAAACATGATCTTTCTGTTTTTCTATTTACTGGTTTTCATGCTGTGCTTCAAAACAAAAGACAATAAAATGGTTCCTTCTTCTGTGGGACAGTTAAGAGAGCTCTTGGGGGGCACAGAACCCATCTCCCTAAATCATCTCAGGTTGAACATCTGTTCCTTTCAATTGCCCTTTAAAAAGCATATGTCTCAGACTCTTAAGTCTGCCTGCCCGGCATTCAGCAGGCGCCCAGTAAGTGCCAGGTCCTCTTTCTAAGTGTAATCAATCTCGTTGTTCCAGAGTCTCTGCGTCACGACAGACCCAAAGGCAATACCCAGATACCACCTGTGTACCAAAGGTTACGCTGGGACTGTCACCGCCCTTTCCAAGGAAACAGCTGAGGACTATTGCTGCTTGCTTGGTTGGCTCTGTTGTTTTGTTTTGATACTCTCGGCCAGATCACCCTGAATTCAGAATGATCTTGACTCACCTGTAAACCCCCGGGTCTTTATCCCCGGGAACAGATGTCACGCCGGCTTCGTGATAACTTGCTCTTCTGCGATGAGCAGTGTGAACCTACATGCCCGACTTCATGTGTATCAGTTCAGTTTCATGTCACTGCTCCCTCTGGGCAGTTAAAACCCTGATTCTAAAAAAAAATTTTTTAAATTAAAGAAAAATAAAACCCAGATTCTGTTTCTGCTGCGTTGGTTCCTTCCATGGCATTCATTATCCTTCACGTTCCTTCCTGGGAGATAGATTCTTGCTACTTTTGTTGCTGTGGTTTTAGGAGAGCAACCAACATTAAAATGAGCCACATTCTGCCCAAGAAATGATCACGCATCTTGGGAAAGGCTATTTTTTCCTTGGACAGAGCCTCGGCGGTGGTATGTTCCAGGAAGCAGCATTTTTTTCGAGTTCCCATCTTCTGACCACTTTGCTTGGGTTTTGTCAGGCTCCCCAACCTACCCCAATGCTCTAAGTCTTTTTTGGGCTTGCTTGTCTGGATTACATCTTCTATTCTGCCTCGGTGCCTTTCCTGTTCTCAGGAAAACTTCTGAGACAACGAGGGAGTCAGTCATTGAGCTCATCAGGGCTCCCAGAACACATAAAGTCTTGTCTAACACCTTTTTGGCTTCATAACACACTTTGGAGAAGGAGCATCTTTGAGAACATTCCACAGTAGGTGTCCCCGGGGTCGTGGCAAACAGTCTCCAGTGTTCCGTCCTCCTTTCTGCAGACAGCCAGACAGACTCCGTGTGGCTGCACAGTTGCCTTGTGCAGGATTTCCAGCTGTCGCAATGTTTACAAAACCGGGGGAACCTGAGGGTACCATTACTGTCAGTGACCATCGTGTCATTGTTAAGAGACTTCTGAACGTGCGGTGGGACCGTGATGGCAATGTGCATCCACAGGACCACACTCGGTGGCCCTTGAGCAGCCCCGACCCCTGGCAGGCCCCGCGGCTCTTCTGACACCGAGCGCCTAGGGCTGGCAGATGTGCAGGCCAGATGTGGCACCAGGTTCTTGGCTCTCCAGAAAGGAGGGGGTCTGGAGGTCTTCAGGGCATGGGGAAGCTCCCAGTGGCCGAAGGGAGCTTCACAAGAGACCGGCCTCATCACCCCACTCTTAAAATAGGACAAGGTGGGAGCATTGCCCGAGTCGCTAGAAGCATAGCATTCTGGAACTTCCCCCCTTTCGGAGACCTATGCCCTATTCCTTCAAGAAGAAGAGAACAGTGCTTAAAGTGGCCTTCGTGGTTTTGAAACCTCTTCCTCCCTTCTGTCTTCTTTTTATTGGTGTCCCTGTCCCCATCTCGCAGCTACGGCAGCCCCGGCCTCCTTGTCCTTCTTCTTTTCCTTCTTGCTCAACTCGGGGGTGACTGGAGGGCTCTCCTCATCCTCACTCTTACGCTTCTCTTGCCTTTGGGGACATTTACTATTGCTCCAACCACTTCTCTCTGCAGAATCCATGGAAAAGGAGACGTGGCCATGGGGCAGATATTCTCGCCGGCTTTCCGTGGAGTCATTATCACACCCTCCGTGGATCCCCGATAGGTCTCCAATCCAAAGGCTCCACTGAAACACTGGCCCTGGACAGGACTCCCCACTTATGGTGGCAGACGGACTCCCTCTAGATCCCCAGGAGCCAGACCAGAAGGCATTAACTGTTTGCTGTCTGTTTCCTTTCTCTTCTGATACGCTCTCATGTTTTCAAGGACGTCCCATGCCTTGTGCGAAGAAAGAACTCTCGTGCCCCCTTTCCTTGGAGTCTTGAATCAATAACGCTTGTCACATTTGCTTTCCCCATGTACAGATGCCGACGGAGAGGTAGACGCAGGTACAGAGAAGTAGAGGTATTTTTCTGAACCACTGTAAAAGTAGGTGCGGACCCCATGCCTCTCTACCCCTAACTATTTCAGTGTATTCCCTAAGAACAGGATTTTTTTAGTGGATCCACAGTATAATGTTTAAAATTGGTAAATGTAACATCTAAGCAGCACTGTGATTTAACTCATAGTTCACGTTAAATGTTGTCAGTTGTCCCAATCACGTCCTTCCTGGCTCTTTCTGCCTCCAGGTCAGGGTCAACTCTCAGTTGTCTCATCTCTTTAGTTTTCTTTGGTCAGTGGCATTTCTTTATCTTTCGTGATCTTAGCCTTTTTTTAAAAAATATTTTTATTTATTTTTTGTTTATTTATTTGACAGAGAGAGACACATTGAGAGAGGGAATGTAAGCAGGGGGAGTGGGAGAGGGAAGAAGCAGGCTTCCCGCTGAGCAGGGAGCCCCATGCGGGGCTCGATCCCAGGGTCCTGAGATCATGACCTGAGCCAAAGTCAGACACTGAATGACTGAGCCACCCAAGCACATTTTTTTTTTAAAGAGTATGGGCAGCTTACTTAGTAGAATATCCCTTAATCTGTGGTATCCAAACTGGCTTCTGTATGCTTTAGACAAGTCTTCATCATTTTTCAAACACTTTCTTGCTTTTTGGCATAAGAAAAAATCCCAGGGTCAGGCTTCTGGGAGTCTCCCAGAAGCACCATTCTGCCTTGATTCCTGCAGAGAGATCTCTACTTCCCGAGTCATGAAACGTCATGCCTACCAGCCCGGTCCCTATGGACTCCTCCAGCCTAAAGCTTCGGCACCCCTCACCTCCACTTCCTGCTCTCACCCTTCTCTCCTGTTAAGGCGACAAGGAGACTCTTGGAGTGCCAGCTCAGCCCCTTCCTGGCTGGGCTTTCTTGGGTTCCTGGTTTATGTCTCAGTTTCTTCATCTGCAAAATGGGGTTGGTAGTACTGTCTATCTCCGAGGGCTGTTGTGAGATTAAAAGGAGACAGCGCTTAGCCCAGGGTCAGGTAGGAGGGGAGTGCTTGCCAAGGAAGTTTGTCAGCCTTCACGGGTCTGCCTGTGAAGACTCCGCCTGACTTCCCTCCAAGGAAAGGGGCCTCTGGGCACTCACCCTAGAGCAGAGTGAACGGAGCCCAGGAGGGTCTATTCCACTGGTCTGTCCCTTACTCTGTCTGGGAGTGGTGCAGGGAGGGCCTGAGCCTGCGTGCAAGTCTGACTTAAAGCCCACCTCTGTTTTCCTTCCCTTCCACTCCCCAGGGCTCGCCTTCTAATACATATATAAAGCATGACCTACCAATCCATCTCGCAGGTAGGTAGTATATTATTTTAAAAATACATAGCAATGCGTTGGGAGTGTTTTTAAACGTTTGCATAAATGACACCAGGCAATAAACCTCATTCTTCTGCTCATCATATCTCAGGCTCTATGGCCTTCAGGGAACTGTCCCATCCTCGTTATTCATCCATTCCCAGGGTGGGGGGAAGTGGTGGGTGGAGTCACCTATGATCAATAGCCACAGGCTACTCCCCACCCCCACCCCCACCTCCTCTGCAACACCCTGATGGAGGCCTCAAGTCATTTGCTTGGGGGCGCTTAATTTCACCCCTCACCTGTTTGACTTCCAGAACCACTGCCCCAGTTTTAAGGGTGTGGGCACGTTTTCTTGGAGGCTTTTCCTGGCTGTACAGGTGCCGAAGCCTCTCCAGGGCTCAGTGTCCCCAAAGGAACACGGGCACGGCGGTCCTGACCCACGCAGCGTTGTAAGGCCGACTGCAAAGAACACTTGAGCACAGTGCTCGTGCCTGCTGTCCCAGCTGTCCCCACAGCCCCACCCCCAGGTCTGCGCCAGAGGACCAGCCATCAGAGCAGGAAGGGCTCTGTAGGTCTTCGCCTCCAAGGGAAAACTGCGGCCCAGAGAGAGTGAGGAGTTTGGGCAAAGTCACACAGCTTGTGGCGGCTGACTCCAGCTGTCCTTGGTACCTGAACCAGCACAGCTGCAGAATGAAGTCCGGCTTGACCCCAAAGGGCGGGTGTTGCGGGTCCAGCCCTGCCACTTGCCCGCTAGCACTTTCCTTCACTGCCCCCTCAGTTCCCTCATCTGTAAAACGGGGGCGGAGTAAACCTTCTGCTCCCAGAGATCAGGCGGAAAGCCGGCGCCACTGCCCCGGGGCGGGTCACCCCGCAGTCGCGGCCCGCGATCCACCCCCGAGCAGGCGTGCGGGGGCGACGCCGGGGTACCCTCCGGGGTACACCTCGGAGACAACCCGCAGCGCACCTGGGGGGGGGCGGGGCGTCGCGGCTCTGGGATCCCATTGACTGGGGCGGCGGGGGGGCGCGGCGCGGGGCCGGGCGGGGCGGGGCGAGGCTCCCGCCCGAGCCTTTCATCTGGGCGGAATTCCTGCTCCCTGCTCCAGCGCCCCTTGCCCGGCTGCCGCGCCCCAGCCCGGCCGGCCCCACCGCCATGCGCTGCTACGAGGAAGAGGGCAGCTGGAGCCTGTCCTTCTCGGGCGCCGGCTTCCTGGGGCTCTACCATGTGGGCGTGACCCGCTGCCTCAGCGAGCGCGCCCCTCACCTCCTCCAGGGCGCCCGCCGCTTCTATGGCTCCTCGTCCGGGGCGCTCAACGCCATCGCCATCATCACCGGCAAGTCCGTCGGTGCGTGGGGGACGGCGCGGACTGGGGGGTTCGGGGGTAGGGAACGCGGGCTTCACGCAGGAGGGAGAGGGCGCGGAGAGGGGCGTTTCAGGGCCCGGTGCCTGGGGCGCTCTGCCTTGCTCCCTTTACACCCAGCATGATCCCAGGGGACCCCGAAAAGGTCCCTGAGGACTTGGGGTACGGTTACCCTTGTTCCGAGGACTGATCAGAGCTGGGGGGGGGGCTGTTTCCAAGATCTAAAGGTGGACAGAGCATTAGAATGTAGGGCCAGGGGCAGATATTCTGAGCTGGAGAGGGGAAGACTCTCCACTCCCATGGTACCCGGGAAGGAGGTCAAGTCTTTGGGACGGATGTGGGCAGGCCCCCCGGGTGACGGAGGACCCCCTCTTCTCCCTGCGCCGGCAGACTTCTGCTGCTTCCATCTCCTGGGCTTGGTCAAGCAAGTGGAGAGGCTGAGCCTGGGTATCCTCCACCCGGCCTTCGCACCCATCGAGCACATCAGGCAGCAGCTGCACGACAGCCTGCCCTCCGATATCCACATCCTGGCCTCCCAGCGGCTGGGCATCTCGCTGACTCGCTGGCCGGATGGCCACAACATCATAGTCACGGACTTTGCAACCCGCGATGAAGTCATCCAGGTGAGCCTGTGGTGGGACCCACGGCCTAGAGGCAGGTGAGTTTGCTCCATCTCTGCAGTGACTTCCAGGTGCTTCCAAGGGGCAGAGAGTCCTTCCCAGGAGTGGGGGCAGGGGGTGGTCGCTTGGTCACTTGAGGCTTGGGTTTGTTTACAAATGAGAGAATGATTGAGTTGAGGTACAGAGAGGGGCCACAAGGTGAGAATGGAGACTCCTTGCTTGCTTTGGGAAGGTCCCTCGGCAGAACACAGAAGGGACTGGCTGGGGAGGGGCAAAATCTAGCTTCTGTACTCAGGGCCCCTGCTTTCCCCGCGGGGGGGGGGGGGGTGCCCGCCCACAGTGGATTAGGAAAAAATCCAGTTTTGTTCTAAAACAGGATGTGGTGACAGAGAGCCACAGGGTCAGAGAGGGAGGCCAGTGACAGGCTGTGGGAGTGCTCAGGTGGGCCAAGTAGGGATGAGGTCCCTGGGAAGGCTCAGGCAGGGAGGGAGACAGGGAGGGAGGCCTGGAGCTCTGCTCCCTGTTCTTATCAGGGTCTGTGCCTTCCCCCCAGACAGAGGTGCTTGATGTAGAATCTGCTTCATCTTGCTGACCCCAGCACCCAACATGGGGACTGTTTCTGAGTCAGTGATGATCAGATTCTTAATGTGTGCAGGAGAGGGGCCAGCCCCTTGCTGTGAGCACATGTCCATGGGCTCTTGAGGAAGCCAGCCAGGGAGCCTCCAGTTTATCCCAGCATCTTTGCCTGTATGGCACATAGCACAGGGCCTGGCACGCAATAGGTGCTCAGTAAACATTAGCTGCTGTCACCATTATTATTCATCTGTGGGAATGAGGCTCCCACTTGTATCTCCACCAGGTTAGAGGCAGGATGAGCTCTGCCTCTCCCAGAGAGGGTTGGACGGGTATTTCCAAGTAGACCATGAGACGACGTTCTGTGCTCCGTGAGCTTGGTAAGCTCTAGGTCAGTGGTTCCCAACCAGGGGTGATTTTTCCTCCCTGGGAACATTTGGCAACGTTGGAGGCGTTTTTGGCTGTCCAAATTCTGTGTATATGTGTTTGTGTGCACACGTGCGTGCCATGCATGTGTGTGCGTGCATGTGCACGTGTGTGTGTGTGTGTGTGCACGTGCACATGCGCAAAGTACTGACAGCTAGCGGGTAGAAGCCAAGGATGTTGCTAAGTATTACACCATGTACAGGACAGCAGCCTCCCACTCCATCCCCCACTCCCAAGACAGAAGTCTCGGGAGCCCCAAATGTCAATATGTTAAGCATCGTTTTCACTGCAGGACTTGTCAGAGCCTCCATGGGGAAGAGTAGACAGTGTTTTCCAATTCCAAGTGGATAAAGAAGTCAGGGTTTCTTCTTTATTTTTAAATATTTTATTTATTTATTTTTGTGAGAGAGAGGGTGGGCATGAGTGGGGGGAGGTGCAGAGGAAGAAGCAGGCTCCCCCACCTGCTGAGCAAGAGGCCCAGCATAGGACTCGATCCCGGGACCTTGGGATCATGACCTGAGCCAAAGGTAAATGCTTCACCAGCTGAGCCCCCCAGGCGCCCAGAAGTCAGGGTTTCTTGTTTGAAATTCATCTGGTTGGATCAGTGTCTAGGGAACACACTTTGGGGGACATATCCAGATCATCGGTACAGAATGCCTGCCTGCTCTGTAAAGGAGAAATGGTACTTGGTGCCTCCATTTGTCCTTGTGGTGGTGGTGGGGCATCCCAGCAGCAGTCTCAAGTGAGCAAGGACCCGTCAGCGGGAAGAAGAGGGCAGGTGTCATGACAGGCTTGCATTCAAATACCTTCTCAGCCTTGCAAATTTGGCTGGGACGTGCCAACTTCTCCAGGCCTCATTTCCCTCCGTTGAACACGAGACTGTTGCCAGCAAACTCTGCCGGCAGCTCTGGGGTCAGACACCATGCCCAGAGTGGGTTCTGAACACCAGGAGCACAAGCGATGGTGTTTGCGCTGACTTGTTTTCCCAGGCTCTGGTCTGCACCCTCTACTTTCCTTTCTACTGTGGGACAATTCCCCCCGAATTCAGAGGGGAGGTAAGTGCACTTTAGGGGCCTGAGTCCCTGCCCTGAGCTCTGGGTGCTGAGTGTACCTTCTGCTGAAAGCCGTGTGGGTGGAGGGAACTGTGCTTCCTGAGCACCTACTATGTGCTGTCCTCCCTTCCCCCCCACCCCCGCTCCTGGGGGCTGATGCTCGGAGCATCCTGGACTAGATGGTCCTAGTGGCTTGGGGGCAGCTAGAGGTCACCGGCTGCAGCCCACTTCCGGCTGGTGGTTCCGTGGCAGTGTGGGGACAGGAGAGGGCACTCTGAGCAGACAGTCCCCCTGAATTGCAGCGCTACATCGACGGGGCTCTGAGCAACAACCTCCCCTTTGCGGACTCACCCTCCACCATCACCGTGTCCCCTTTCCACGGGACAGTGGACATCTGCCCCCAGAGCTCATCGGCCAGCATGCATGAGCTGAATGCCTTCAATGCCAGTTTCCAGATCTCCACAAAGAACTTCTTCCTGGGGTTCGCCTCCCTCATACCCCCCAGCCCTGAGGTAGGTCGGGCCCCGTGCTCGCCTTGATGGTGTTAGAGGCTTGGCCATGATCCAGGGTCTTAGGAATCAGGCTGTGTCCCCACCCCCACCCCACCCCACCTGACCTCAGGGCAGTTCGGATACATGTTCTGTGTCCTACAGCCAAGTTCTTGAACCTGCGGCATGGGGCTCAAGGTGCGTCCTTACTATTCTTCCCCTGCCCCGGGGGAACGTTGAGTTACAACTGGCCCTACATCGAGGCAGGCTAGCACAAGTCCGCTGACTGGGGCGTGAGCCAGGGTTCTGCTGCTACTCCTCTGGGTCAGGCTCTGTGGGAAGGTGCTACGACCATCTCTTTTTCTCAGGGGAGGACCCAAGGCTCAGAGAGGTTGAGCAGCTTATTCAAAGTCACACAGCCTGGAAGCAGCAAAGCCAGACTTCAAATCGGCAGCTAGCCCAGAACCGTGCTCTTAAACCCTGCCCTAGACTGTAGCCAGATTTGCCACCCCATGAAGGCGAGGCATAGGCAAGACAAAAAGGGACAGTAGACCTGGATTTCTTGTTTTATGCCTTTGATATTTCTGGAAAATGGGTAGTTTGACAACAAGAGTTTATCTCCATAACCTGCTCCTCTACCCCACCCGTGCCTTGGCCTTCCCCTATTCCCACATTCATCCTATGGTTCTGTAGTGTTTTGTGTTGTTTTTTACTTTAAGTAAATTCTGCACCCCACACGGGGCTCAAACTCATGACCCTGAGATCAAGAGTCCCGTGCTCTACCAACTGAGCCAGCCAGGCACCTCGATTCTGTCGTGTTTCATAGTTTATGAAACAAGATCGTGTTCATTTACTCTGACCTTCCCTCCACCTGTGTGGTGACGGAAAATCTCAGCCGCTTCTTAGAGACGAGGAGGCCGGGGCTCCCGGAAAGGTGGGGTGGCCATCCTGAGGCCGCACAGTGAGGGAAGGCAGAGCTCCCTCCTGGACCTGCAGGTGCCTTGTCCCCACTAGGAGAGCTGTGATTGGGACAGGCGGGTGTGCCCCCCCCCCCATTTTCTCTGCTATCTCAGGCTGGCTCTGGAAATAAACATCAAAGGGCAAAGGCAGCCACCATGCACTGACGCACAGGGATGCAGGCAGTGTCCCGGTGTCCTAGGCCAGGCCACCTTATCCCATTTTCCAGAGGCGAGAACTGAGACCGAGAGCGGAGAGTCTGGAGCTAGAGCCCCCTCCCCCTCCAAGGAGTCTTAGAGGAGGGAAGTGCCACGGGGCTGCGGGGAGGGAAGCAGATGGAGCAGCTCATCCTGTCTGCAGTCCCGTGGCTCTCCTGGCCCATCACTGGGGTCCTCGAGCCCTGCCGAGAGGGTTCTTGGGGAGCGCGGGCTGGGCGGGGATGGCTTCCAGCAGGAGATGATTCTCTTGCCTGTGACCACAAACTGAGGGTCAGAGCCAGGCCTTGCCCATCCCCCTCTGCCCTGTGTGTTGGCAGGTGGTAGCTGACAACTGCAGACAAGGCTACCTGGACGCCCTCAGGTTCCTGGAGAGACGCGGTAGGTGACAGCCCCCATGGTGGGGGGACATCCGAGTAGATCCTGCTTTCCAGATATTTGCACCATTAGGGACCTCAGCTCCCACATTCTCTCCCTCAGTCTCTGCTCCATGCTTGGCCTCAGCTGGAGGCTGGAGACCTCGAGGGGATCGCATGGGTGTCCCGCTCTTGAGCTGCCCTTAGACTGGTGTGGGGAGACCTCTCCCCACAGAGGTGGAGGGATGCTCAGAGAGGGGGCACCTGACCCAGCCTGGCAGGTAGGCAAGGAGGGCTTCCTGGAGGCAGCCACAGATACGCTGGGCTTTGACTAGTTATGAAGACTAGGGAAACATTGAAGTCAGAAAGGAAGAGGGCATTCCAAGCAGAGGGAAGATGAGCGAGAGCAAAGGAAGAGAGGCAAGTGCCTTTGGGGCACAAAACTCAGTATGGCCCCGGGAGTGTGTGTGTGTGTGTGTGTGTGTGTGTGTGTGTACTCATGGGGGAATGTGTGAGCTACAGAGGTCTTCTCAGCTGAAGAGTTTGGAGGTCACCCAATGCTCTTCGACATGGCAGAGCTGAGATTTGAACCCAGGCCATCTGGTTCCTGAACCTGTGTTGTTTACCCCACACGACAGCCTCAAGCACACAGCATTGGGAAGAATTTGCTGAGCACTTAATACGTGCCCAAATCTGGGCTTGAGCTTTAGGTTTTCTCTCTAGGTGTTTAATTCTCAGAACAATCACTTGAAGCAGATGTTCATTTTCTCCTTTCTCAAAGAGGGAGGCAGAGGCACGGAGCAGTTAGGTCCCCCAGCTAGCAGCTGTTGACATCGGGGTTCGAACTTTGGACTGCGTCTTCGGGGTCCGTGCACTAGAAAGTGCACAGGAGATGGGGAGCGGAGAAGGGCCAGGGGAGAGTAGGAAGAGGTCATTCGGGAGGAGCCGTGGATCAATCCTGCAGCAAGTAGGTCCCCAGAGTGGGGTTTGCGGATCGAGGAGGATGGATGGCATGGAGAGCCAGGGGCGTCACCATCACCGGGAGGCTCCGGACACAATGACCTGTCATATCCCTCCTTTCCGCTGACCCAGGACTTACCAAGGAACCAATTCTTTGGATGCTGGCATCGAAGGAGCCCCCACCTCCGGCTGATGAGAGCCAGGACAACGACCAGGACAGAGGCCAGAAGGGGGACCTGTCTCTCAACTGGGCGGTGCCCAACGTGCTGGTCAAGGACGTGCCCGACTTTGAGCAGCTCTCACCAGAGCTGGAGGCGGGTATGGGTCCTTCCTTCATGCACTAGCTTCCCTATCCCATGCCCTGCATCCAGGGGACAGGGGCAGAGACCCTGCCCTGCTGGTGCTCAGGGGCTGGAAGAGGACAGGACTCCTTTATTGAGCACCTACTGGGTGCCAAGGGCCTTTCAACCTGAGGTGGCATTCACTCTGTACCACAACCATGGCCTACGTGCTTTCCTTACCCCATTTCCCCGAGGAGGAAACCAAAGCTCAGAGAGGCAGCTGGGAGATTGAAACCCAAATCTGTGCCTCAGAGAGCCAGGTCTTGGCCCACGGGCCAGGGAAGGGCAGGAAGTCCTGAGGGACGTGAGAGAGGCACACACAGAAGGTTCTGGACTCTCCACGTGGAGAGGGACTCATTCTATCCTCCCAGCAATACTCTGAGGACGGAACTGTATTGTTCCCATTGTATGGATGAGGAAGCCATAGCACAGAGAGGTTAAGTGACTTGTCCCAAAGTCACACAGCTAATAGCCCAAGCAGGGGTTCCATCCTGAGCCATCTGGCCTGCTCTCCTGCTTAGTGACCCCAAAGTCACAATGGCGCAGCAGGAGGGTCCAGGCATGTGTCCTGGTGGCAGGGATGTGGGTTTGAACAGCATCTAAGTGAGACTGGAGAGGAGGAATCGGCCAGACAAAAAGGAGAAGAGGAACGTCCAGGCAGAGGCGTGTGCAAATGTCCTGGGTTTAGTGGGGACAGGGTCGTGGTTGAGGGGCAGGGGAGCAGAGGCTGGGAGGGTCAGGCAGGTGGCTTTGAAAGACACAGGAGGAGAGAGATGGGGAGACACTGGGGGGGTGCTTACTAGGGGCAACCCATCCTTTCCAGAGTTCACTGCTGCTCTGAAGTGTAGGTTGGGTGTTCACCACACCTAGCTGGGAGGGGTTGGGCTGGGCCGCAGGAGCGGGGAGCCCGGGAGGAGAGATGATGGTGGTTGAGTCTAAATCAAGGACAGTGTGGGTGGGCAAAGGGGACGGAGAGGGCGCCTCTTTCTGCTCTGCACCGGGGACCATACACCGCCTGCAGAAGTGGGCCTGGATGCGTGCTGAGCCCCTAAGGTCCAAGCTTGAAGCTGTGGAGCCCAGGCGGCATCCCTGCAGCCACATGGGGGCACCAGAGAGCCTCCTCCGCGATGGTGCCCTGCAGCCAGCTCACGCCCGGGACCCGGAGTTACCTGACTGGCCTTTACAGACCCCCCCTTAATCCTCGCCCACCTGCCTGGGAGGTAGATCCTGCCGGGAGCCCCACTTTCCAGAGGAGGTAACGCAGGCTCAGGGAAGGGAAGGGACTCGGTCTGGGAAACATGGCAGGTGAACAAGGAGCCTGGTCTCTGTGCCGTGACCTCTGTGACCCCTCCGCGTGGCTGTCTCTCCGCAGCACTAGCCAGAGTCAAGGCTGGTGGCCCAGCCATGGTCTGAAGATGAGGATTTGGGCTCCAGCTCTGCCCTGGCCAGGATGCCAGTCCTTTCTACCCTGGTCATTTCAGGGACTGGGGGCTCAGGACGTGGTTGTTGTCATTCCCGCTGCTGCTGGGAGAGGGGCAGGAGAGATGGAAAGAACTCGGGGAGCCTGAGTCCTTGGGTCCATCTTGGGGAACCTGCCACTTCCTGGCCTGGTCTTTGGGCAAGTCACTTCCCTACTCTGAACTCAGTCTCCTCATCTGTGAAAGGGGCACGCCCCGCCGGTTTGGGGACAATAGTGAGAGAGCACACACTGAGTGCCCAGCCCTCTGCTGCCTCAGACTAGGGGTTGGATCAGTGCTGTCTCTTTCTCTGCAGACAGGGGTCGGGTGGGGGGGGGGCGGTGGTCAGTTTGTGGACTGCACAAGGTGGAAAGGGTTCAGGCCACCTGTCCTAAGGGTGCTGGTGAGGGGGCTGGCTGGGGGGTGTGGGTGGTCACACCATGGCTTCTCTTGTAGCGCTGAAGAGAGCGTGTATGCGGGACCCCAGCCACTGGGCCCGCTTCTGCCGGTCGGGGCTTGGGCAGGCACTGACCTACTTGCTGCTGCCCTACACACTACCCTTCGAGTATGTTTACTTCCGGAGCAGAAGGTGAGGCCCAGCCAGGGGTCCTGGGAGGGGGGCTGGCTTGTCATTGGGGTTTTGGGGGAGCCCATTGCCTCAGGCAGGAGGGGCAGTTGGCATGCTGGGTAGGCAGAACCTGGCTGGCGTCCCCGGGCCGCTTGGTGCTGGTTGCACAACCCAGAGGAATCCCGAGGGTTCTCCTCTGCGAGATGGGACTGGTGGAAGATGGTGGGCAGCTGTGACCGGAGGATTAGGAGTAGGGCCTCCTGGTCGAAGCTCTGGCCCCTCCCCTGTCTCTACGACCTTTGGCCCTTTGCTCTACCTGTTAGAGCCTCAGAGGAGATGTGCTGTTTCTGGAGAAATAACTCTGGGGGCTGGTCTGGTTCAGATTAGCTGTGTGGCCTGGGCTGGGTCTCTTGACCTCTCTGGGCCTCAGCTTCCTTTTCTGTAAAACAAGGCCCTTCCAGGGCAGACTGGTTGTGGGTAAGCCCTCACTAACCACTCCAACTTGGTCAATTAATGAATCACTCTGCACTGCTTGTTCATTCATTCCACCGATAGTTATAATGAAGGCCTAGCCAGGGGCCAAGCCTTGGCTGGGGATCAGAAGGCAGCCCTGACTCAGACCCAGGCCCTGACCTTGTGGAACTCATAGCCCCCAAACCGTCACACACTCCTCTGTGCAATCACACCTCTGCCTAGAAATATTCAGAAAGGTCTATACTGGCTGTGAACTGAGATGGCTCACACTAGGGGCTCTCTGGTCAGGGAAGGATGCCTAAAGAAGGTAACTCTTGAGTTATAATCAAATGGGTGGGTGTCCACTAGGCAAAGAGGGAAGGTAAAAGTATTCCAGAGGGATGGAACCGCATGTGCAAAGGTCCGGGGGCAGAAGGCAGAGGAAATAAGAAGGGGTGGTGGTGAGGCGCTGTGGCAGTGGCTGGTAGGGCTAGATAAGCAGGCCTCTAGAGCCACGTGAGGAATGTGGTCTTTATCCTAACAGTGTTAGAAGGCAGTGAAGGGTTTCAGTAGAGAAGTGTCATAGGGAGAGCTGTATTTTTTAAAATTCTTTATTCCCTAAAAGGTCAATGACAATGAGCCACAGGTCTGTTTTGCTCTGTGTTGGGTTAATGACTCGATCAGCCCTGCTGCTGAAATTGCTCATGGCCCAAAGCCAGGAGAGAGCTTTCTGCTAACTCAGATTCTCCTCACGCTGAGCTGTTAGATTGAAATCACAGGTTGAAGTCAAACAGGATAAGATAAAGGCTAGACTTTTCAGCTAGAAAAAAAGTGTCCATATGTGAGCACTGATGGAGAAACCTGTCCAGACCACTGGGAAATTCAGACTTAGTATTTTTTGTAACCAACATGCTCAACGTGTAGGTTGTAATAATAGAGGCAGACAGTCCAGAAAAAGGGAGGTGATGGTCTAGCTTATATTTTGTTTCTCATACTACATCCTGTGGCCTGTCTGCCCATTTGAGGTCCTGGTTGAGAGGCTCTGCTGAAGGCCGCACATTGCGGGAGAGGCCCCGCTGTGCCAGTGACTCTGAAATGGTGGCCAGCCAGGCCCTCTCTCAGCCGTAATTGGATGACCTGGTCCTCTGCTGAGCCCACAGGGCCCAGGTGGGGAGCTGCGGGAGGGTTTGGAGCAAGAAAGAGCTGTGATCAGACGTCTATTTTGGGAATGTCCCTGGCAGCTCAGGGGAGAGCGGAGGGAGAGCTGTGGAGTGAGGAGGCAGGTCTGGGGAGGAGAAGGAGGGACAGCGAGAGAGGGAGGAGGTTAGGAACTGCAGGTAAGCCCATGGTCCTCTTCTGGCAGGCGAAGCATCTGAGGCCCAGAGAGGTTCCCCGACGTGCCTGGGTCACACAGCTGATGAGCAGGGTAGCTGGGCCGCAAACCCTCCCCAGCCTGGCCCCAGAGCCCAGCTCTTCCCTGCCGCGTGTGCCCCGTGGCATGAACCAGTTCTGCAGCGGAGCCCATACTCTCGGGTGCTTCTTACCCCTTATTCCACTTCCTCTCGGACTGGTGCCTCAGGGCCTCAGGTGCAGGGACCCGAGGCTATGCTCTGGGCCCACAAGGAAGGTGGGCTCCGCTGGGCCATAGGCTTGGGCTTAGCTGAGCGAAGGGTTCTCTGCCCCTTCCTCCAGGCTGGCGGTGTGGCTGCCCAATATGCCGAGCGACTTGTGGTGGATGGGGGGCGTGCTGCACAGCTTGGCCCTCGAGATCTACTCCAGGTTGAAGGACCAGCTCCTCCAGCTGGTCAGGTGAGGTGGGCGGACGGGCCCGTGGTGGAGCAGGTGTGGCTGTGGTTATTTTTCCTGGACCCTGGGCGGGCCGTCCACACCCCCCATGTCCTTCTCTCCAGCCTTCCTGTGCGGCCGCTGGCATAGGCTTGGTCACCGCTGTGGCCAGACCCGTGCTGGGCCTGGATGCCCATCACACTGGTCAGTCTGCCGAACCAGCTCCCAGAGGACGAGTGCATCTCCCTGCTCGGCCAGATCCCCATCAGCCCGTCCAAGAGCCTTCCAGCTGTCCCTACATGTCCTCTGTGGGGCCTGGGTAGGGGCCGCCTGTCTCTCCCCGACCTGCCCTCCCTACTGCCTAGAGACCACGGTGTCCTTCCAGCCCACTTCACAGCCATCCCTGGAACCTTCCCACCCATGTCCGTGTGACCTGAGTAAGGGCCTCAGGGCTTTCCACCTGGCAGGATCTGGTAGAAGAATGACCGCAGGGCTCACTGAATTGAGGGCTGCCCGCACACAGCTCCACCCTGCCCTTGGCCCATCCCTGGGCTCTAAAACCTCGCACTCACCGGCTTCTGTTTCCTCCGCAGCCTGCCTGTCACCAGTCCCCTCCAGCTTGGGGCAGCTCTTCTTGTGGACCTGGCCAAGGAGCCCAGACCCCCCCCCCATCATGTGAGGGGCACCATCAGGGCCAGCCCACTGACTCACCTCCCCTGGTCCTTGCCTTGGCCCTCACCCTGTGCCCAGATCTGCCTCCAGTCCTCGGATCCTGACTAGTCTTCTGGAGCTCAGAGCTCCGTGTGGTACTGTCTGCTGAACGGAGGATGGAAGGGACAGCCCCCCTTTGCCCTCCACTCTTGTCCCTGACTGTGTGGGCGGTGGCCCCCAGGAGCCAGAAGAGGCCACACCAGCCCCTCTGGAGCCCCTGTTCCTTGGAGCCACTCCCTGGGGCCTGAGGACTTCTTTTTTGGGAAAGGCCCAGCCTGTTGGTATGTCCCTTGGTAGCTGTGTCCAGGTCACCCTGGTATCAGAGGGAAAAAGGAAGGTAGGAGCTGAGGCACACATCTTGGTTTTTGAATTTCCATGTTGAGGACCCTGGGCCAGCATCTACTGAGAAGCGGGGTTCGTGTACTTTTACTGAACAATTTTCAGAGTGCTTTACAGAAGATCAAGTGTCAGTGATCAGAAGGCAGATGGAAATGATGGGCTGGGGTGTGCCTCCCCTCAGATCCTTTCTCTGACTTCCTTTGTCCTGCGCTTGCCCCAGGGTGACCCCCATGGTCTGCCTCATTCCTACAACCTTGATCTCTGGCTTCCTACTGGGTCCATCCAGCGGGAGCCCCCAGCAGGAGATGTGAAGGTGGGAGGAGAGAGGGGGCATCAACATCTCAGAATCTCACCCCTATGTGTCCTGTTGGGGTGCCCAAGGGCCCCAGGCTGCCAGCACCATGACACCACCCCCTTATTCTTTAGGAAAGTTCATGGTATAGTAGTGCCTGCACGCCCCCACCCCCCCAGGCCCCTTTCTTTCTCAAGCAGAGAGGAGACTGGGACACCAGCCCTCCTCTAGTCTCTCCTGGGAGCTGACACCCTTTCTGTCCTCAGAGCAGAACCCACAGTGTGTCTTGGCCAGGCCCTTATGAGACACTCAGCCTGAGCAGGGATGGGGAGGGTGGGGAAATGGAGGTAGGCCCAAGGGAAAAAAGGAGAAAAGGAATAAATCTAAACAAAAGAGATAACAAGTCATTCCTTTGTTCATTCATTCATTCATTTGACTTTTGCTTAGTGGGTGGTAGGCTCTGGGGTCACAGCAGTGAATTAGACTTACATTCTGGGGGTGCCTGAGTGGCTCAGTGGGTTGAAGTCTCTGCCTTCGGCTTGGGTCATGATCTCAGGGTCCTGGGATCGAGCCCCACATCATTGGGCTCTCTGCTCAGCAGGGAGCCTGCTTACCTTCCCCTGTCTCTGCCTGCCTCTCTGCCTACTTGTGATCTTTGTCTGTGAAATAAATAAATAAATAATCTTTTAAAAAAAAGGACTTACACTCTGATATGGGTTGGTGGGGGGAGCTGATGCTGAACAGCCAACTGGAAATTGAAAATGAGACCATCTGAGGAGTGGCAGTGCCATGAGGAGAGCAAGAGAAGATGGACATGATTGTGGTCGGGGTGGGAGCGACATTGGATCAGTGGTCCAGGAAGGCCTCTCCAAGAAGATGAGGTCAGGGTTGAGGCCTCAGAGGAGAGGCAGAGAGCTGAGGGAAGAGCTTTGCAAGCAGAGGGAACAGCAGGTGCAAAGGCCCCGAGATGAGAATGCAGTCACTGTGTTTAAGAAACAGAAAGTAGCCAGTGTGGCCGGCCGGAGCTTTGTGAATGATGGGGCAGGCGGAGGGCAGGCAGAGGCTGGGTCACAGCGGCCACGGTCATGGTGAGCAGCACATTGGATTTGGGTGGTCAGTGGAGGGCTGGGAGCAGGGAAGCAAGAAGGTGAGTGCAGAGTGAGTGAGTGGAGCATAGGAGGGTCTGGGGTGGGGGGTGGGAGGTTGAAAGGGAGAGAAGAGGCATAGAGAGTGAGGACTTCCAGGAGGGTCCACCTCCCCACTCATCTGTAGGATCTAGGATCCCCTGGGATTGAGCTGGCTTCTGTCCCCTCTTGCTGTCACAAAGGGGGCTGTCCTACCTTGAGTCACGTGATCTCCAAGCCCCAAGGATTCTCTTCGCCCAGAGCTGGGACGCCCTATCCCCATTCCCAGGTGCTGGGTTTGGGATTTCCTGCCTGTGGAACGGGGGGGACTGGTCACCCGAGACACCAGGTTGAGGATCTATAGGCTTGGTGGGGCTCTGAGAGTATTTTTGTTCCCCTGTCCTTTGTCCTGTATCAAGGATGTGGGCCTCTATTCCCGTGGGCAAATGGACCTCCCTTTATCACCCCCTCTCTCATTGGTTCTTTGGGGCTCACCCTAGGGCTATCTTTGCCCCCATTGCTTTGCTCTGTGTCTTAGACTGAGAAGGATAATTGGCCACTCCCACCTTCTTCATCCTCCTCCTTCCCAAAGCAGCACGTTGCTAAATATTTCTAGCTTACTTGGCTGAATATCTCAATTGCTGATAAAACTCTTTTTGGTCATTGTTATTTGTGACTCATGCATCAGGGTCACCTGTTCACAACTTGTGGTTGTGCTGACTATTCACAAGCCTCGCCCACTGTGCTTTACAGTTTATAAGCACTTCCCACTTTCTCTCCCATTGAACTCTTAGACATCTTCTCACGTGGCTTTAAAATCTGCCTGCCTGTGGCCTTCTCCTTTGATCCCAGCTCTGCACTCTGGGACCACGCACCCTGCCTGCTCCCTCTGCCTGGGGACAGCCTGGCAGGGGAAAAAGGGGGTGAGCTGCCCCCTCTGAGGCTGATCTTCTCCACAGTGAATAGCCTGTGCCTTACAGCCACTCTCAGGGACATCCCCAACCCAGACTTGCTGCTCAGTAAACTACAACCCCTTACCCCTAGTTTGTTCAAATCCCTCTAGGAGGATGGAGTCCAGGGCTGCCCCTGATACAATATGACCACTACTGGACCTAAATTGCCTTTCACCTCCCACCTACTCATCACTGCCTCTGTGAATGTAACCTCAAAATGAACGGGCTTAGCCTTGGCACCTCCTGTGGATTTCACTGAGCCACCATCCACTGACAGTGCTGTGCTCTTCCTTAAGCCTGGAGGGGGCTCTGCTGACAAAGCAAACAGCCCGGGAGCTGATCCAGGTCAGAGTTCCTGGCTCGTTAACCCATATAGCCTCCCAGTACAGAGCCCTGAGGCATTACAGAGGAGAGGAGGGATCTAGGGCTCTGAACAGAGGTCGACATGGGCCTGAGTCCCAATTCTGCAACTGAGCATGAATGTAACCTAGGGAAATGCCCTCTCATGTTTGAGCCTCAGGTTCCCCCTGCATAAAATGCAGCGAACAGCATATGCCTCATGAAATATTTACTTGAGAAAAGTAAATGCTCCTTTTAGACTGCATCATATGGTAGGAAAGAGGGAGCAGGAAGTGAAATGCACTAACTTCATGTATGCTCTGTGTTAGGCACCAGACTAGGAGGACTACTGGGCCTCCTCTGAGCCTTAGACCACCCCTGGGTGGGGGATAGTCCAAAGAAAACTCAGAGGAGCCGTGATGGGGCCCAGACCTGTGTAATATCAAAGTCCCCTCTGGACCCATGCCATGTTCTTCCATCAGCAGAGCTAGAGTCATGAGTCCGCCATGCTCCTTTTTCTCCCAATGTTCCAGCCGAGGACCTCTCTGGGCCTTGGAGCCCTGGCACAGCCATGGCTCCTATTCTCAATGCACTTTTCCAGGCTGACTGCAAAGCCCTGCCGCAGACTGGTTTTCCGAGTGCCAGCTGTCTGCAGGGTGTATCCTGATGCCTGAGGCAGATCCCTGCCCCAAGCAGCTCGCTTGCCTCTGCTGTTATTTCTGAGGACATGATAGGGAATCTAACCCTTTCAAGTGCACTCACTTTACACTTTACAAAGCCCATCATGTCAAGTCTCCCAGCAACCCTGGGAGTTTGGTAATATACTCTGCATTTTATGGATGAGGAAACAGAGGTGCAGAAAGGTTATGTTGATCGGTAAGTGGTAGAGCTGGAAATGCCCAAGTCTGTGCTCCAGGAAGCAGAGAGATCCCTAGACTATTACAACTTCATGGTGCACCAGCTCTACGACAGCAGGCAAATTCTGTCCTTGATCAATTCTTCATTTCCTGTCTTTAAAATCAGGGGTTGGACCACCTGGTTTCCAAGGGGACTCCAGCTCTGCTCCGAAGCCCATAATATAGATGATTAATATCACTGTATTAGAGATGATTCCAGGAGGGGATTACCCACAATAGAATGGGTTTCTGAGCCAGGTTTTCATGGAAGCCTAGAATTTGGGTTGGCAGAAAGTAATTCCTGGAGGGGATACTGTAGGTGCAAAGGCAGGTTGGAGGTGGCCATGGTAAGTTAAACCCACAAGGAATCTGAGCTTCAGAGATGAGCTTCAGAGATGTCAAGTGTCTTGTCCCAGGTCCCACAATTAGTCAGTGGTGGGGTTAGCATTCAAACCCAGATCAGGTTCCTTTCTGTCTGAACACTAGAATGCTCAGTGGAAATACTGAAGAGTCCTCTGCAGGGATTCTGATGTAACTGATCTTGATCTAGATATCTATCCGGGCAGGAGTATGGTTGGAGCCTCTATTTCCTGGGCACTGGTGTCCTCAGGGGCCACTGTGTGAGTGTGAATACCTGCCTGAACCAGCAGTCTGTGCCTCAGACTTGCTTACTGTCGTCTGTGCCAAGCAGGCTGGTATGTATGAATCTGAGGCTGGGGTCATGTGATGCTGGTGGGGTGACCTCTTCCCCAGCCAGCACTCTGTGCCTTCAGACTTGGTTATTGTCATCTGTGCCAAGCAGGCTGGTATGTACTAAATTGAGGCTGGGATCACGTGATGCTGGTGGGGTGACCTCTGTCCCAGCACTAAATCTTGGCTACACCAGGCATCCCCAGGGAGATACCTCAACCTCTCTGAACTTTAAATACCACCTCCAAAGTCTGATCTTGTATATTAACCAAGTATTCAGTGATGTTAAGGAACATGCATTATTTTTTCGCTGTGTTAATATATTGGGAGTCTGTGTTTTGAAGAGTTTTTGTCTTTTAGAGATATTTTATAGATCTATAGTGAAATACTTATGAATGAAATAATACATGAGATTTGCTTCAAAATAATCTTGACTGAGAGCTGATGAAACATGGATTGGTAACAATTGAAACTGAGTGATGAGTTCACAGAAGTTCACATAACTATTTTCTCTAATTTTGTATACATTTGACATTTCTGTAATAAACGAGTACTTAACATTAAAAATTGGATAGCACATGCAGATGGAAAATATACATCAAAACAGAACATAAAACTAGCAAAACCGGGGTGCCTGGGTGCCTCAGTGGGTTAAAGCCTCTGCCTTAGGCTCAGGTCATGATCCCAGCGTCCTGGGATGGAGCCCCGCATCAGGCTCTCTGCTCCAAGGGGAGCCTACTTCCTCCTCTCTTCTCTGCCTGCCTCTCTGCCTACTTGTGATCTCTGTCTGTCAAATAAATAAATAAAATCTTAAAAAAAAAAACCAAGACAAAACAAAAAACAAAACTAACAAAACTTGGGCCTCGGGGAGTCATGGCTATCGGAGTCCCTGATGTGAAATCGGGAGGGCAGTAGGATCTGGTGCACTGTGAGCATTCAGCACCACGGACAGCAACCCACAGCCGCTTCCCTCTGCCTCGACAGCCTTAGGGATCGGAGACAGAGAACTTCTGCATCCAACTTTGTGGGAGAGGTCTGTTCAGGACAAAAGGTTATCCAGTCTCTTACACACCTCCAGAGATGGGGCCTTCACTACCCATGGGGTAGACCGGGCCTTGGTGGACAGTTTGGGCTCCTAAGAAATTTCTGTTTTCTGCTCCTTAAGGATATCTTTGTCAAAAATCAATCATGTATGTGTGTGTCTATTTCTGGGCTTTCCATCCTGTTCCATTTATCTATATGTCCGTGCTTATGCCAATCCCATACTGTCTTGATTTATAGCCTTATGGTAAAAAGCCTTGTAGTAAGTCTTGAAATCAGCTTCCAAATTCACTATTCATTTTCAAGGTTGTTTTAAGTATTCTAGGTTCTTTGTTTTCCCATAGAGATTTTAGAACCAACTTGTTAATTTGTACAAGAGAGGCCATTGG